ATGGTGGTTTAATCTCTGGCCCCAGAATTGGGGAGACACAGCAGGGGGCGACAGGAATAAGCATCTAGCCATAGGGGGTGTCAAAGTCATGGTATTTCAGTGAGCAAGCCCTTATCTGAGCCCTATCAAGAGCTTTATAGCACTGAATTGTTTTCAGTAAACATCACAGCTGCCTGCTCCCAGGCCAAAGGGGAAGTGGGTTTCTGCTCAAGGTCTGGTGTCCCCACAAGCACGGGGTCTCAGGCCTTTCATATGCCAGGAAATATGTGGAATGGCAGTTTTGGGGAGGGAGAGCACTGCCTTCTGGGATCCTGTACTTGTTTGCTTTCACTAAGTTGATTCGGTTACTGGGGAATCAGTGAGGTTGTTGGCCCCAAGCACATCCCAACAGGGTTTCTTTGGAGGAACCTGTCTGGATGAGACTGAGCAGAGCACATGATCACGGATTTAGACCAAAGCAGAAAGCAAACATGAATGTGTGCTTCCAAGAGACGAGGAAGAGGAAGGAAGACAGTTTCTCTCTCCATGCCTAGTGTGTGGGGACTGGACTTTTGACTCAGTTGGCCAAAGCAGTTGGGGCTCCTGCAGAGGACCAGTTCCATGAGTTCAGCTGTCAGCATATGAGGGAGACTTCTCAAATTCTCTAACTGGAGATCCAGAGCAATGAAGTCCTCCTCTTGTCTCTCCTGCTGTATCCATTTCTGTAAAACAAACACTATAAAATGAATAAAAAAATTAGACAACCATTTTGTGGATCTGTGGTGTCTCTGTTGGAAGAAGCCTGTATTATTTCACCCAGTACTGCTCAGGTTGTGCGAGTTTGGTTAGCATCTTCATGGCTGCACATTTCACACAAAGCCTCACTACTCTTCCTTGCCACCTGGTTTCGGGTAGTAGATGCCAATGGTGAGGAAGACAATTGCATCTGTCAGAGTCTTTTTGTAGTCTAGTCTTTGCTAAAGACTTTATGCATTTTGAAAAAGGAGAAAGCCATTGATTTATTGAGAATCCATAATTTCCCCACCTGAACTGTGGGTCCGTTTTGAGATATTGGTAAAATAATTCTTCCATCCCCACCACTGTTAAAATGAATTCTCACAGGGAGTCAGGCTCAAAGGCAGGGCCTTTGCTGCCCCTAACTTGTCCTCCTCTGCCTGACTCTTTCGGTTCTCCTTTGACAGCTCTTTCCAAAATAAACTGGTATCACAGATTAAGTTGTTAATCCCAACCAAGCTCCATGATGATTTAAGTACCAAAGACTGAAGCCAGCATTTCCTTGTGTGTGTGTGTGTGTGTGTGTGTGTGTGTGTGTGTGTGTGTGTGTGTGTGTGTGTGTGTTGTAGCCCTGCTACGGTCAAATCATACCCACTCTGCAGACAGAATTTGTTTTCTTTTGCTATATTTATAGCTTGCATTATGGGATACTGATATTATTATATCTAACACTTCTAGTTACACCAATGTCAGGAAATCAGATAGTTTGTTTCTTAAAAGGGGAAAAAGAAATCATAACATTATTGCTTTGTGATAGAAAATTCCCAGCTGACATTGACTGACACTCTCAACATGATTGATCTTGAGTAGGAGACTGCTCACAAACAGGATATGAGGCCCTCTTTCTAGAGGAAAGAACTTCCAGGCATTCAATTAATAGTTTAAGAAGGAACTTTCTCCTCTGCTTCGCTCTGTGCGTTCCTCACCTTGAATCTCTATCAGTCTCTGTCTGTCAGTCTGTCTGTCTGTCAGTCTGTCTGTCTCTTTTTTTCCTCTTGTTCATGTCACTCGCTGTGTTTCACTCTGATCCTTTCTTCTGCTGTGTACATCACTGTCACACACAGTGTGCCTGTGTTTCTGTCTGTGTGTCAGCCTGACTGTCTGTTTGTCTGTTTCTCTAGCTCTGACGCAGAGCATCTCTCATTCAATCTATTTATGTACCTCCACCAATGCTGTGCTTGTTTGTTTAGAATGAAGATAACTGTCTTCATGTCTGTTACCTTGTCACAATCTCATCTCTCCATTAGTGGTTATGTTTGTCACTCTCTCCCTCAATCTATGTCTGTCTCATAATGTACCTCACTCTATCTCTCTCTCTCTCTTCTCCTCTCTACTCTCTCTTTTCCTTCTATTTCTCTCTTGCTCACTCTTTCTCTGTCTCTTCATATCTCTCTGTATGTTTGTGTTATTTTGTGTGTGTGTGTGTGTGTGTTGTGTGTGTGTGCAAATCCTGCAGTGTCTCTCTAACTCTGTCCACCTTAACTATCTCTTCTACATGTGTATTTGTTCTGTAAGTTTCTGCCACATGGCAAGTGATTTTCTCTGTGATGTGGACCCTCGTGTAGTTCCAGAAGTGAGCCTCATCTTATGGGGCCATGAATGCTTTGTCTCCAATAAGTCACCAAGAGAAACACCTACCCAAATTAAAACCACCACCAATGTCATTTCTGACATGAGTATCTCTGTGATAAGAGCCAATGCTTTCTGCCTCTGTGGATGCCAGTTTCCACAGGAGAGGCTGTTCCAACTCTCCAGAAGCAAGATGAGGTCCACAAGTTAGAGCACTTTTCTGACAAATGAGGGGCCTTGCAGTGATAGCCTAGCTTACTTTCAATTGACACTCTTGAGGAAGGGTAACCTGCAACAGAGAAGAGTCTCAGGTGGTACTAGTTATCCACCTTTAATAGGGGCTGTACTGATGAAGCAACTTTTCAGGGCTCATATCCAGTTGATTGATTTATCCTGTATGGAGGGTGGGAGAAGCATCAGGGGCAGATTTTCAGTAGACCTGAGGTGGAAAGCAATGTGTGGAGGTAGTTCTCTTTCCTCCTGGCTTAGTGAGTCCCTCCAGGAATCATGAACTGGAGAGGTCTAGGGAGCATTTTACTGATCACATTTGAAGAAGAGGCATCAGAACACCTTTCCTTCAGTAACTACGTGAACATATTCTGATATACAAGAGAAAACTCTCTCGTTTTAAAGGTCCAGCAGAGTAAGAATGGGAGCTCAAAATTTGCAGAGGAGAGAAAACACCCATTAAAATATGAAATGTGAAATGCTTGTTGTTCAGTGTTGCTGTTACCCCACTCATGATTGTTGTCTTCTAAATCCATCCATTTGACTGCAAATTCACAATGTCATTATCTTCTGCCCTGTGTCGTATCCCATTGTTTAAATGCACCACATTTTCCTTATCCAGTTTTCAGGGGAGGGTCAGCTAGTTTGGTTTCAGTTTCTGGCCATTACAAAAAGTACTTCTGTGAGCATAGTTGATAGGTCGAATGTCCATATGGTATGATTGCGTATCCTTTGGTTATATGCACAAGAGTGGTTATGCTGTGCTTTGTTGCAGTTTGATAACCAACATTTTGAGAAATGGCCACCCATATTTCCACAGTGGCTTACAAGTTTGAACCAGCAAAGGAACAGTGATCCCCTTACAGTATATCGTCTCCAGCATAAATTGTCATTAATGGTTTTGATCTTAGCCATTCTGACCAATAAATGATGACATCTTAGATGAGGTTTGATTTTCATTTCCCTGGAGGCTATGGATATGGAGCAGACCCTCCTTTGCCTTTTGGACACTAGAGACTGTACTGTTCAGAATTCTCTGTTTAGCTCTGTGTCCCATGTTCTCACACATAAGTAGATATTCGACATAAAGTAGAGGATAGTCAGCCTACAGTTGACAACTTCAGAGAGTCCAAAAACAAGAAGAGCCCTACTAGGAAAATGCATGGATTCTACCATACCCCCAAAATGGAAACAGACAAGGTCTCCTGTGTATATTTGGAAGACACGTGCAGGAAGAGGTTGTTAGAATGCAGAAGGTAGAAGGAGAGCACGAGGGTCTGGGTCGGTCAAGTTGGTGGAGGCCGCAGGGGAACTGAACAAGGAAAGGGAAACTTCGATGGAGAGACCATTTTTTGGGTTAGCCGGAAATCTGGCTCTAAGGAAATTCCCAGGAATGCACAAGCCTGAGCCGTGCTTAAACTCTGAGCCACAGTGGAAAGGGCACCTTAGCGGCACTTGCCATGCAATCACGTTGATGACTACCTTAGGTGTCATCATAGAACGTTCATCCATTAACCCACAGAGGAAGGTGAAGAGATCCACAGCTAAGTACTGGCCCAACTCGCGGACCACAGTCTTGCAGCAGGAGGTGTGATAGCATGAGCAGAGTGGCCAGGTCCCTGGGTCAGAAACAGCTGAGCCCAGCAAGAATCAAGTGGGAGGTCCCTGAGTCCATAATGACACCCCACAAACCTGCATAACACTGAACTGGTCCCTAGGAATGTGTATGACCTTTGTTTGGTTTGGGCAGTTGTTGGGTCCACCACACGGGGAACCAGGATTTATCCCTACTGCATGAAATGTCTCTTGGGCACCCATTCCCTGTGGAGACATACCTCGCTCACCCTACAATCATGGGGGAGGGTCTTTGGTCTGCTTCCAGTGATGTCACAGAATTTGTTGAATTCCCATGTGGGAACGCCCCTTTCAGAGGGGTGGATTGGGGGTTGGGTGGGTAGAATGTGTGCATTGCTGTGGGATAGAGAGTGACCCGGGATCGGTATGTCAAGTAACATTATTTTAAACTTCTACAAATGATAAAATGATCATAGTTTGGAGAAAAATACCAAACAAACAAAATATGAGATATGGACACCCAGAATCTACTCAGTCCCTGTGACTGAATGAGTAGAATTTCGGAACTTCATGTAACACAAGAAGTAAACTCCACTTATTATGGTGACTCTTGTTCCCTGATCTGACTTTCTCTGGAATAAACTAACATCCAAACATGGAGAGCATAGCTTCAGTTGTGGTATGTAGATCCAATCCAACTGGAACGTTGGAGTTACAGCAACACATGGATCTAATCCTGACCTGGAGGCAGGAAGACAAACACACCCTTAATCCAGACCTTGATGGGTAAACAGGCCACACCCTCTGGTGGGAGACTATAAAGGGGTATGGAGAGAGGAAGGTCTTCCTTTTTGCCAGCTGGCCCTTGCCTTGCAGCAAGTCCCTCCCTTCACTGGCAATAGCGACTACTTCTCCTGACATCCAGAATATCCTGAAGACCAGCAGACTGGTCCAACTTTCTGGACTGAGTAAGTACTGAGGTCTTGAACTTTCTCTTCATAACTAGATACTGTGAGGCTATCAGGCCTACAGCCCTAAGTCATTCTAAGGAATCCCCTTTCTTCATATGGTCAGAGTTTCTTTCTATCTGTTCTGTTTCTCCAGTGAACCCTGGTACAAACTTTTTTCTATATGAGAGCATTAATTGCTCCAAACCATCCAAGAGTTGAGTAAAGTTGTCAAAAGTAGTTACCAGTTGACCCAAGATTCAATCTAGGAAAGGAAACAGCGTAGTGGTGAGATTGCAGCTCTCCCAAGAAGCTCAATCTCACCTCTCTGAATCTAACATTGAAATCTGGATAGAGAATTTCAGAGAGACCCAAGTCTCCAGCCCCAAAGAGTTGGGGATACAGAGGAAAGCAGAAAACAAAATTCTAAAAATGTGTCTGTGATGATACATAGTTTACCATTTCACAAGTCACTGGTGATCAAAAGAGCAAAGCAAGCATACTGCTTAGCCAGTGAAGCCAGGCAGACACGTTTCCCCTGAGGACTCGTGGGACAAAAAGCAGGTGGATATCTGTGTGTTCAAGTCTACCCAGGGCCACACTAGATTGAACCAGCTTAACAGAGTAACAGAGCTCATGCCCTTGATCCCAGCAATAGAGTGGAATAAACGATAAGAGCGGTGTTTTCAGTAATCAGGCTCAAGAAGATCTCCAGTTAGGCTGAGGAGAGGTAGCGGTGTGATGCTTGGGGAGAGCACGTGGAGCCTGAGGTAGAGGCAAGATCTAGTGGCTTGGCTGCTTTGCTTGCCTGACCTTCAGATTGAAGTTGAGCCCCAATATCAGTGTCTGGTCTTTTATCTTTTTGTGTTACAGTTATCTGTAATTGGTAGCTCCAGGTTGAAGAAGAAAACGCCCTACCTATTCATTTTGGAGCCAGGTTAACTGAAAAAGTGCCACAAGCCGATATGTCAGGGGACCTGGCAGCCGTGAGCTGGGGCTACACAGAAGTCAGTTTCCAGAAATTCACCTACATTTGGACCATCGGCAACTTCTGTTCTATCCTGCGGGAAATGAGGGAAGCCATTGAAAGCCCAACCTTCTCCTCAGGAGCCAGGGACAAAAACAGATGGAGTTTGAAAATACACCCGAACGGGATGGATGAAGAAAGCAAAGGCTACTTGTCAGTTTACCTAACGTTGCTCAGCTGCCCAAGGAGACCAGTGTGGGCAAAGTTCCAGTTTTGGATCATCGACTCCGAAGGAGAGAAAACACAAGGCATGAAGAGCCCAAGATTCTTCAGGTTCCAGCAAAATCAGCAGTGGGGATTCAGAAAGTTCATCCCTCGACATTCCCTCTTGGCCCAGGAGCCTTGGCTGCTCGAAGACAATGAACTCAGCCTGAGATGCAAGGTGACTGTGGCCCAAGACTCCTTAGGCTTCTCTGACGAGACCACGATGCCAGGGATCCAGGTTCCAAGGTGCACTCTGGCAGATGAGCTAGGAGAGCTGTGGGAGAATTCCTTCTTCACAGACTGCTGCCTGGTGGTAGCTGGCCAGGAATTCCGGGCTCACAAGGCCATCTTAGCAGCTCGCTCTCCAGTTTTCAGAGCCATGTTTGAACATGACATGCAGGAGAGCAGAACAAACCGCATTGAGATCCACGACATGGAGCCTCAATGCTTCAGAGCAATGATGGCCTTCCTTTACACCGGGAAGGCACCGGATCTCCACAGCATGGCAGATGTACTGCTTGCAGCTGCCGACAAGTACGGCCTGGAGCGTTTGAAGGTCATGTGTGAGGACGCCCTCTGCAAGGACCTCTCCGTGGAGACTGCTGCCCACACTCTGGTCATGGCTGACCTCCACAGTGCAGGGCAGCTGAAAACCCAGGTGCTGGATTTCATAACAGCTCATGCTTCTGAAGTCTCTGAGACTTCAAGCTGGAAGACAATGGTGGGCTCATATCCCCACTTGCTGGCTGAAGCATACAGCTCCCTGGCTTCTGCTCACTGCTCATTACTGGAGCCCCCTCCCAAACGCCTCAAGCAATCTTAGGATCCTGTCAGCTCTGACCTACAGGTGTATTCTATACGCGGCAGCAGGCATTCTTTCCAAGGACACCTGGGCAGACTACCGGACGCTGTAGCATTTTCAGAGAACCTGTGGAAAGACAGCATGGGGGCTCAGGCCTTTCATTCGCCAGGAAATATGTGGAATGGCAGTTTTGGGGAGGGAGAGCACTGCCTTCTGGGACCCTGTACTGGTTTGCTTTCACTACATTGAGTCGGATACTGGGGAATCAGTGAGGTTGTTGGCCCCAAGCACATCCCAACAGGGTTTCTTTGGAGGAACCTGTCTGGATGAGACTGAGCAGAGCACATGATCACGGATTTAGACCAAAGCAGAAAGCAAACATGAATATGCACTTCCAAGAGATGAGGAAGAGGAAGGAAGACAGTTTCTCTCTCCATGCCTAGTGTGTGGGGACTGGACTTTTGACTCAGTTGGCCAAAGCAGTTGGGGCTCCTGCAGAAGACCAGTTCCATGAGTTCAGCTGTCAGCATATGAGGGATACTTCTCATAATTCTCTAACTGGAGATCCAGAGCAATGAAGTCCTCCTCTTGTCTCTCCTGCTGTATCCATTTCTGTAAAACAAACACTATAAAATGAATAAAAAATTTAGGCAACCATTTTGTGGATCTGTGGTGTCTCTGTTGGAAGAAGCCTGTATTATTTCACCCAGTCCTGCTCAGGTTGTGCGAGTTTGGTTAGCATCTTCACGGCTGCACATTTCACACAAAGCCTCACTACTCTTCCTTGCCACCCTGTTTCGGGTAGTAGATGCTAATGGTGAGGAAGACAATGGCATCTGTCAGAGTCTTTTTGTAGTCTAGTCTTTGCTAAAGACTTTATGCATTTTGAAAAAGGAGAAAGCCATTGATTTATTGAGAATCCATAATTTCCCCACCTGAACTGTGGGTCCGTGTTGAGATATTGGTAAAATAATTCTTCCATCCCCACCACTGTTAGAATGAATTCTCACAGGGGGTCAGGCTCCAAGGCAGGGCCTTTGCTGCCCCTAACTTGTCCTCTGTCCCGCGCTACCGTCTCGCCAGCAAGAACGACGCAGGACACTGGGATCCTTCTGCAGTAAAGCTTTAATGCATCTTGAGAGATAGATGATCAGCTTCTGAGAGGGAGACCCCAAGCTAAGAAACCCAGCCCCTTATATAAGCCTAGGAGCTCCGAGTGAGACGTGTAGAGCCGGGATTGGTGGTTTGCACATCACCCCAGATGACGTCAGGTGAGGCACAGCTTAAACGGTAAACTCCAACTGACAGCAGATGTCAGCGCCATCTTCTAATGGCGATAGCGATAGCGAGGGCGGCTCCTCACATCTCCCCTATTCATTTATTTTTGAAGCCATAGGACACCCACAACTTTGGAGTGGAGATAGAGGTCAAATCCCCATGTGCAAATTTGGAACATGTACAAAGCTCCTCTCCAGGGTCTTATCCCCAGAGGGAGCCCTGACCAGTCCCGATGTCGTTTTTCTGGGGGAAGGAGATCATGACATAGAACCTTCATGCAAGATGACTTATCTCCCAGGAGAAAGTCGTTATACCGCAGACCTCTCCTGTGCAGTGCTTAGCCTTGCAACTCCTTGGGCTGCTGAAGCCTACCCACTCTATCCCGTGCAATGAGACTAGCCTCGTGGGGTGCAAGAGCCGGGAGGCCAGCGACCTATTGCTTTAACATGGTTAACCAAATGTCAGGGAGGCTCCGTGTTCTAAGGCAGCAAGTGCTTGTGCCACCATCACTTTGTCTCTTTTGTTTGGGCTCTGAGCTTACACACCATCCAAAGCATCAACACTATTCCACAGCAGAGAACTAGGCTAAATGATCCCACCCCCACCCATTCCTTAAAATAAGAAAATGCAGATGAAATCCAGGAGGAGAGGCCTTCCATCAGAGAAAGATCCAGACGCGTCGAATTCACTTGCAGGATCGCCACTCTCAACTCACGGAGTGTCTGCTCAAACTCAAAAGTCCAATTCTGTAATAAATGTTGAGACAGAGCTTTTGACAGGTTAGCTGCTCTTGTAAAATTCTCATATTGTACTGAAGTGACACAAAGGCCAGGCAACTTTTGTTCACATCCCAATTGGGCCATCTGCCACAATATATCCAATTGTTCCTGAACCAAATTAATCTGTTGGTTTACCAACATCAGGCCTCCTTGTATCTGAGAATTGGCAGTGGCCTGTTTATCTAGGACCATGGTCACAGTGGCCTGATAGTTCATTAATGGTTTGAGTTGTCTGCACAGTGGCGGAAAGTGCAAGGGCCGAGGCGGTAACCGAAGCAGTAACCGCGGCGGCAGCTATCAGGCCCACAATAATAGCAGAGATCCCAAAAATCTCGCTTTTCCCTAAACAAACTCAAACTACTTGGCACCTCAACAGGAACTGGAACAAATCGAGGCATGCGCATTACCAAAGCAAAAGGGTGCTTAATAGCATCCCAGCATAATGCATAAAAACAATTCTAAGCAGAGCAATTTATTTCTTTCTGATTCTTACCTAAGGTATCATTACTCACAACCCAAATAAAGGGCAGCCAAACACAAATTGGAGCAGCTGAATAATTAGTTCTCTTAAAAGGGGTATACTTAACATTGGAGGAGGACCAATCAGATGATCCAGAGCTCTGTCCCTCACTCAGACTGTTGCCTAATGCCCCTTTCCAATCAAAAGTAATCTGTCCCTTCTCACTATATCCTCCAGCAATCATTGCCATAGGAGAAAGATCAGTACAGCTTCCATTAATTCAAAAGGATTAGCATTAGATCTTTCTGGATCCATATGAATAAAATTATCCTTTAATGAAGAAATCACAGTAAAGCACAAGCTTCCTACCAATGACAAGGTTCTCTCATCCTGAAAACTCTGTATCTGAGGATCTAAAGGCAAAAAGGCAAGCCCCAACTCTCTATTAGTTGTGAAAAATCTAGGGAACTCCTGGGCATTATGCATCACTGGCATCGGTAGGGGAAGGTAGACATGATGGCCCACCGTAACTCTCCCATCATACTAGGAACCATCATCCCGAGTAGGAGAGTCTTCATCACCCACTTGGCCTCCATCCTTCTTATTCTGGAGTTGTGAAGGAGCTCTTCGAGTGAGTCTTTCAGGGATCCACAGGGGGTTTTCTTCCTCCTGTGGAAAAACACCACAGCTCCCCTGGATCTTATAAGAATAGGATCCGGGCCTTTCCAGAGATCAGTCAAGCACATCTTTCCATTTTACAAATTCTTTTGGCCTATCAGGCTCTAAACTGTGGCGATCGGCCGCAGTGTGGCCTTGGGCATCAGAGTTCAAGAAATTAAGGGTAAAAGTGCCATGGACACAGCAACTCTTGGTACCGAGGGTAGAACATCCTCAATACTCCCCTTTTGTTTAATCAGATATGATTTGAGTGTACGATGGGCACGTTCCACAATGCCCTGTCCTTGAGGGTTATAAGGTAGGCCAGTTAGATGGGTAACATCCATTTGCCGACAAAACTGTCGGAATTTTTGAGAGGTATATGCTGGTCCATTGTCTGTTTTTAAAATTCTGGGTTTTCCCCAAGCACTCCAGGCCTCAAGGCAATGTTGAATCACATATGAGGCCTTTTCCCCTGTTAGGGGTGTGGCAAACATTACGCCAGAACAGGTGTCAACAGAAACATGAACATATTGAAGCCTTCCAAAAGAGGGAATATGAGTAACATCCATCTGCCACATCTGCAATGGTCTAATGCCACGTGGGTTTATTCCCACGTGGGGAGCAGGTAAGAATTCGCAGCAATTCTGGCATTGAGTAACAATTTCCCTAGCCTCTTTCCTGGATAGAGCAAAACGACGGCGCAAGGTCTCAGCCGTCACATGAAAGCGCTGATGGAATTCTTTTGCTGCTTGTGCATGGGTAGACAAGGCAGCGGCCACCAGCTTTGTAGCCTTGTCCGCTAAGTCATTCCCTAAGGACATGGGACCTGGGAGTCCAGAATGTGCTCGGACATGGGTAATGAAAACAGGAAATCTCCTATTTAACAAGGCAGCTTGTATCTTCTGAAAGATGTTAGCAACTCTGCTGGAGGATCTTATTATTCCAGCTATCTCAAGGAGATTAACTGCATTAACCACATAAGAGGAATCTGATACAATATTGAGGGGTCCTGGAAAAGCCTCAAGAACCTCCAGTACTATCAGACATTCTACAACTTGAGGTGAAGTTTCATTATATTGTTTAGATATAACCCTATCCTTGACCACATAAGCTCCCATACCAGTTTTCGATCCATCAGTGTACACCACAGTCCCATCTGGGAGTGGGTCTTTAGCTGTCACTTGTGGAAACACTATAGCCTGGTTTAGGGCAAACTGTAAAATTGGATGCTTTGGAAAATGATTATCAATTTGTCCTGAAAAGGAAGTAACTAAAACTGCCCAATCACTAGATGTGGCTGCCAAGGTCTGAACTTGTGCAGCAGTATAAGGCACAATCAAGGAATCAGGATCCCTGCCAAAATGCGTAACAGCTGCTTTTATTCCGCTGAAGCGTGAGCTGTGCAACAGCATCAGGGTACCAGTCAATAATCTTAGCAGGGGAAGCATTTGGATGAATCCAAAGTAATGGTCCATGTTGCCACAGGACTGCAGTTGGCAATTGAGCTGTCTTAAAAACACACAGATTAAAAGGTAGTGACTCCTCAATACGTTGTAATTGTGCTTCCTGTAAGGCCTCTTCCACCATCTGTAAGGCTCGGTGGGCGGCAGGGGTAAATTTTCTGGGTGAGGAGATATGAGGCTCACCCTCCAGGAGATCGAAGAGGGGTTTTAGATCAGCAGATGGAATTTTTAAAAAGGGCCTCAACCAATTTATATCTCCCAGAAGTTTCTGAAAATCATTTAATGTTTGTAAGTGGTCTTTGCGAATTTCTATTTTCTGAGGAACTATATTTTTGGGAGTAATCATTGAGCCCAAAAAGAGCCCTGTATCTGCAATTTGAACCTTTTCTGAGGCAATCTCTAATCCCCACTGTTTTAATTCAGCCACCAGCATGGGAAAAGCCTTTTGTAAAACATCTAACTCTTTGTGACAAATAAGAATATCGTCCATATAATGGATCATGATTAAAGATGTAAATTGCTTCCTAATTGGCTCCAAAGCCTCCTGCACATACAGCTGACATATTGTTGGGCTATTGGCCATGCCTTGCGGCAGTACCTTCCACTGAAATCTCTTGTCTGGTTCCATATGATTAAGAGAAGGGATAGTGAAGGCAAACCTTGGTCTATCCCGTGGGTAAAGTGGAATAGAGAAGAAACAATCCTTAATATCTATAATAATAAGCTTCCAATCTTGAGGAAGTGCAGAAAGCAAAGGAAGGCCTCTTTGAACAGGGCCAAAAAGATGCATCTGATTGTTAATGGCCCGCAGGTCATGGAGTAATCTCCACTTCCCAGATTTCTTCTTAATAACAAAAATTGGTGTATTCCATGGGGAGGTAGAAGGCTCTAGATGCCCCAGCCGTTCCTGTTCTTGCACTAATCTTGTGACAGCCTCTAATTTTTCAGAGGATAGAGGCCATTGAGAGACCCATAACGGCTCCTCTGTTTTCCATGGTATGGGTCGTGAAGCCTC